TCATATAACTACTTGAAATATAAATATATTAGTTGATAAATAATTTTATTTTTCTAATTAATATTAAAAATAATTTTATTATTGTTATAAAGATAAATATAATTTTTTTTAATACATACAATATGGATGTTAAATCGAAGCTAATCAAAAGAAAATTAATTTGATATATTACATATGTAAAACTGATAAAAAATACAAAAGTTATTAACTTTTAAAATATATAAACAATTCAATAGTTATAATAAGGAATAATATTAAAATACCATTAATACATGTAACATGATCATAAATAATCAACATATTTATGGTAATTCGAACCTAATTATTTTTGGTTTGGAATTAAATTAAAATTTACCCAAGCCTAATAACGAAGCATGTAATTTTGCTACATAGGATTCCGAAGCATCAGAAACAGCCACGTAGGCTCAGCGCGTTCTGTACTAATATATATGGGGGATAATAATCTAATTCATTAATACAACATAAAATAATCATCTATTGTATTTTTGCCATAAATTTTATATCAAATATGAAAATGAAGTATTACATAAGATAAATTTTAAGAAATATTATAAAATATTATTTCTAAGTTTAAATATATTATATAAAAAAATGTATGTTACTACTTTGTTTAAAATAGAAAATATAAAGGAATATCACAATTAAAAATAATAAAATAAATTTTTATTTAATAAAGGTAAAAAATAATATATTTCTATGTAAATTAATATTCTAAATTATTAAATTATATGAATTTAAAATACGTGAAAAATTAAATTTAAAAATACAAGTTTCATACATATATTATTTTAAAAATATAAAATATCATTTTGACAAATTTAGTATAAAGTACGGTGCCATTTGAATTAATTATCACTTTGTTAGTTATTTATTATTATTGTATATGCATTATACATAATTTTAAAACAAAAAAAATATATATATATTTAATTTTATCATACAAATATTAATATATTAAGTACCCGTGTAGTACATGAGTATCGTAGTATCCTTTGAAACCTAAAAAATTTATATTTGTTATAAAATTTTCAAATATGATATATTAAATTAATTATCTTTTAATGCTATTTGATTTGATATCCATATTGTATACATAAAATAAAAATTATTTCTATATATATAAAAGTTAAACTTTCAATCAATATTGATTGAAATTGATAAAATTATTACTTGCAAATTACAATAAATTTTACTATTATACTCTACTACATGATATAAGTTACACAAATTATTACCATAATATAAGAGAAGACAATTTTTATGGGCAAAGTATGTTATTTCAAATAATCTAAGAATTTTTTTGTCACTATATCTATAATTGTTGCTTACATTTTTGTACTTGCCCCTATTACCCTTATTTTTCTCGACTTTCTTAAGCGTGTACCATTTTGCTTCAAAACACGATGGGGCGATAAATATATGTTATCCATCAAATAATGGTGTCGTGTTCGAAAACAAGTCTTTCAGGAGACGTTGCTTACATTTTCGTACTTGCCTCTATTTACCCTTATTTTCCTCGACTTTCTTAAACGTGTATCATTTTGCTTCAAAACACGATGGGGCGATAAATTTATGTTATCCACATCAAATAATGGTTTCGTGTTCGAGAATAAGTCTTTCCGGAGACGTTGCTTACATTTTCGTACTTGTCCCTATTTACCCTAATTTTCCTCGACTTTCTTAAACGTGTACCATTTTGCTTCAAAATACGATGGGGTGATAAATATATGTTATCCACATCAAATAATGATGCCGTGTTTGAAAACAAGTCTTTCCGGAGATGTTGCTTTCATTTTTCGTACTTGCCCCTATTTACCCTTATTTTCCTCGACTTTCTTAAACGTGTACCATTTTGCTTCAAAACACAATGGGGCGATAAACATATGTTATCCACATCAAATAATGGTGTCGTGTTCGAAAACAAGTCTTTCCGGAGACGTTGCCCATATATGTTATCCACATCAAATAATAGTGTCGTGTTCGAAAACAAGTCCTTCCGGAGACGTTGCTTAGATTTTCGTACTTGCCCCTACTTACCCTTATTTTCCTCGACTTTCTTAAATGTGTACCATTTTACTTCAAAACACGATGGGGCGATAAATATATGTTATTCACATCAAATAATGGTATCGTGT